TGAGAAGAAAGAACCTTGTGAGACAAGGTGGTTTTGTAGTCTCTGTTCATTTTCATTCCTAAAGGCTTTCAGGACATCCTTCGTATTTTTATATATATCATACTGAATATTCTTGTTCGTGCTTGTTATTGACCATAATTTGTTGATGTCTTCGTTTATAGACACTTTTAGGGTTGAACGAGAAACAGTTTGGCATTGGACAAATTTCGTCGAAGGCAAAATGATATAATAATATTGTATAATAATAATAATAATAATAATAATAATAATAATAATAATAATAATAATAATAATAATAATAATAATAATAATAATAATAATGAAAACTTTTTATTAGATATTTACGATATACTATATATACATTGATAAACCTCACTTAATAAAAGGTAGCTTATCGATGTCCACTTGAATTGAGTTTAAAGCTAAAATATATATACAGGTGAAAATCTTTTAAATTTAGTTAAAAGTTTAAAAGTTCTGGGTTGTTCCAGTCTTTGTTTCGTCTACAGAATATATAATACGACAGGCGAATACAGGTAGCAATTATTTTCTTTTTTACATATTTAATACACTGTTCGTCATACTTCAGATCATGGAGCATATCAAATAAAGTATTCGTCGATTCACCAAATACACCTAAAGAGCTTATAGATACATTAACAAACTTAACTTCATCATATATATTTTCTTGATCGGTAATTAGAGTCAAATATTTTTCATGTTTTCTGAGTTAGTTTTCAGGTTTGTTTCGAATCCAACAGTTAATTCTAGAATGTACAAAATCTTATTTTCAATTGTCAATAGAAGGTCTGGTCGTAACTTGTCACCAGTGATGACAGATGGGCTAATAAATCCAGGCAGATCTACATACATTTTGGACCTTCCGACGTCGAGAAGGCTGGACGCAATGAGATTCAAAACTGAATCATGTATATCTCCCTTCGTTTAGATATAATAATAATAATAATAATAATAATAATAATAATAATAATAATAACAATAATAATAATAATAATAATAATAATAGGCTTTCTCAGGTAGGTTGCGTGATTGCGCGATTTAACTGTAAGTTCTTAGCCAATCAAATTGCTTTTACCAACTACAATGTATAATATAATGATAATTATTTACAGTTATGATAAATAACTATATATAATTGAATATAATTTTGATCCAGTTCTAGTAACGGATCAATATACTCCACCAGGTATCCTGCATGTGAGCGAAACAAAGTAATCTGGTTGGCTAATTTGCTAATGAATTATTAATGAGTTTGAGATATGATCAAAACTCCTGTCAATAAAGTAATAATAAATTTTTTTCCGCATCACCGCGGGTTTTAATCTCTCAACTGCATGCATGAAACTAACCCTTTCATCTTAGCTGTGCTCCGTGTGTGTTGGTAGCAAAGGTGCACTATATGGAAAGCTTTCTAGACATTCCACAAGATCAAGTTTAAGCCACGTGCCTTGCTTTCAGCAGCAAGAAAAGGATTTTAAGCATCCATATCTTGGCAATAGCGACCTCGAGCACGAGGATAGGGAGCTTAAGCATGTAGGACGGCAACACGACGACGACGGCAACCAATACAATGAGTCAATGAAAAGTGAATAAATAATTAAAGTCCCAGGGAAGTTTCAGACGTGGTCGTCGCTCTGTTTACAACGGCAAATCACAGATTTTCACGTCTTTTATACAACGCCTGCATTTCAAGGCGTAGCAAGTGCAATTAAACATTCGGTCAGTAGAACTCTTCCCAAACATAAAGCCAATGTTTTCAGATTCTTATACTCTATTGAATTCATACGAATTATAATATACGACAAGTTTTTCTTTACTATCATTTATTTGAAGGAATTTGTTTTGGCCGTCGTCGTCGTGTTGCCGTCCTACATGCTTAAGCTCCCTGATGATGGCAACGCGACAACGACGGCAAACAAAACTTGTTGAACTACTAAATGACTGCATGTAAAAGAAAACCTGTCGTCTACTATCTATCGTGTGAAAATACAACAGTTTTAAAGCTCGAAGTTCAGAGTAGTTGTTGCAGCTTGAAATGTAGCCGTTGTATAAAAGACGTCCATGACGATCTGTATCTTGCCGTTGAAACGCAGCGGCGCGACGCCGATGTAAATTTACTCCAGTTTGCTAAATCATTTTATATGACATAAAACACATAAATACCTAACCTGAAATTCAGGCCTGAATTTCAGGTTAATAAATACCCAGAGAGATAATTCTCCATTACGTATATACAGTCATAATCTCTCTCCTCCACAGAGACAAATGCAGTGCGGAACTAGTATACCTAAATGCTGCATTAAGCTAGAAGGAATGCGCGCTTTTAAAAGTCTCTGAGGAGAATTACTATATATAATTATAGTCCATATATAGAGTGAATCACACTATAGTAGTGAATAAATAAACGGTAAACCCTTATAGTGGGTTTAAATAAACAGTTGAATCAGTTTTGTTTAATGACCCAGTTCCTATTTACAACTGCATGCACACGCAACTGGGAAGATTAAGGAATATAAGGGATTAGATGTCTGCATGTGCATGTCTTAAAAATATGGCGATATATATAGTAAGGCATTAATAATTTTCATACTCATGGCATGCATGAGCATATAATTATATACGTTATATATAACATTCGGTTTTTTCGCGGTTGTTTTACAGCGATTTCAATTAAGGTTGTCCACGAGCAAAGCGGAAAAGTCGAATACGAGCGCGAAAGGCTGCTGGGAATCGCTAACAAATTAATGAATTTTCAAAGCGATTCCCAGCAGCCTTTCGCGCTCGTATATTCGACTTTTCCACTTTGCTCGTGGACAACCTTAATTGAAATAGCTGTATACACATGCAAAGACAAATAATATGCTAGTGATCTCACCTACACGAGGGTATGCAGGTTATATAGACAGTTATATGCTAAATAGTTTCATACTAGCTATATCATTTTGCCATATTGTGTAGTCAGATATAAAATTAATATATTAATTACTGATTCAAGTCGAATTTCATCCCGACTTAATTACAACGCGTCATACATTTGTGTGTGCAGTCGAAACTCTGAAAAGGCTTTTAAAAAGCTTTACTTAACATAAGCAAAATAGGGCACGGAAAGAAAATCCCTTCCCTTAATGTTGCAGGGAGAACTCTTCTATGATTGCAAGGAGTGCAGAAATCATTAGATACACATATAGCCTATAGTCATTATGTCAAGCGATCGAACCTGAGCATGCTAGCTGCATGCCCAATTTATCGCCTGGAAAATAATTTTGGATATTGGTAGATGTTTCCACTGATAAAATGTCAAAATATAGGCCTACTATATGCGTATCATGCATTACCATTTACTGTAATCGAGGGATGTGGAAAAACACCCTACGTGATTGCAAACAATATTATGGTTTATATTACATGTATCATGGTTTGCATGGCGGGCAATAAAATTCATGCCAACATTTGAAAAATAGTGTTCGCTGAAGATATTGGAAACAATTCGTCTTAAAAACTGAGACCCTCGTAGGTCTCAACAATGTGTAAACTATATCATAGGGGCTGTTTACATGATCCCGCTTTGCCGGTACGTGAGGCGGGATGTTAATGTCACAGTGCACGATTCACCAAAACTATATTATTAATAATTTTTCCATATATAGTGATACGTTACAGTATAATTTTAAACGAAAGATTATTCAAGCAGCAATAAATGTTTTCTTGAACTATCAGATATCTTCTCTACAATATTTGAGTTCTTTTAACCGATGTTTGAACTTCCCGATGAAGGGCCTTCGCTCGATAAGGTCCCTTCTTGAAATCTGGAAAATTTATGATTTGGATCAAAATGTTTTCAGGTTGTTGCTTGTTGAGAAGGAAATAGCGAACTTAAGATCTACGACGCGGCCGGCTCAACGACGCGCTTGCGAAAGAAAGAAATTGTCATGCCAGACAAAAACTGTGAATAATTTGTGGTCCCAGGGGTATTCTCAACGGCTTTGCCATTCTCAGCACAACGTTAAACTAAGCATTATCACGTCTTTCATGCAACGTGAAAGCTTATTGCGTCCCAAGAGGTATACTCAAAGTCGAAATTACAGCAAACATTACATCGCTTTAGTCGAACTTATAGCAGTTTGTAATGTTATTCATGGGCGTACCGGAAGGAAAAATTTAGGGGGGCGGAAAAAAAATTGCCCGACTTTTCGTGATTGTGCCCGACTAGTACCAAAAAATTTTTTCCGGAAATATTATTTTGGCGACCTCCCGTCGCCAAAAAATTTTTGGTCAGTGTACCATTTTAGGGGACAAAAAATTTTTCCGGGCATACCAAAATTTTTCGTAACATCGCACAAATTTTCCAAAAAAAATACATTTCCCACAAAATTAACAAAATTTTCGACAAAATTGACAGAATTTGTCCCATTTATTTTTATAACTAACCAAAATTGCCCGACTGTTGATCGAATATTGCCCGACTGCCCAAAAAACTAGGGGGGGGCTACCGCAACCGCCCCCCCCCGGTACGCCTATGATGTTATTTCAAAAAGCTTCAAACATTTATTACCGCAATAAAATTGCTTAGCACTCATTCTTGAGCTAAAATTCTGACCGCGTTGTTGAGCCGGCCGCGTCGTAGATCTTAAGCTCTCTGGTGATTAATAAAAATGACTTCATTGTCGTTGCTATGGCAACAATGACGTTTCAATATGGCCGACTTTTGGCATTAAACGTATTTTACTCGAAAAAACGTCTGGTTATTTTTTACGTCCGTCCATTTTTTATTTCATGAAACGTTTTCTACCAGTATAATGGAATATTTAAACGAGTTTAAACAAATTCTGTAGAGCCATTTTTTAATCAACATGATTATTCATAATACAAATAGATTTTTTTCTTCTTTAGTTTTTTGTTATCTAGTTATACTTTAATTTAGGGGTTGTGCCTTGCATGGTCTCGTTTTCCCGTTTGCACTAACCCCATTGGACGTTCACCTTGTAATCTAGAATTTATATGTCCAATAAAGCTTATAAAATAATATAAAATAAAATTAAAAAATGGCCGTACAGAAATTTTTAAACTCGTTTAAATATCATTATACTGGTAGAAAACTATTCATGAAATAAAAAATGGGGGTAACCGGACGTTTTTTCGTGTAAAATACGTTTAAAGCCAAAATGTCGGCCATATTGAAACGTCATTGTTGTCATAGCAACGGCAATAACGTCATTTTTATCAATTATATCCAACTCCAAAAATTTTGTTTTATATAAGTCACACAATTCCTGTTTCCTAACAAGCGACAATACCGAACAAATTTTGATCCAAATCATAAATTTTCCAGATTTCAAGAAACTATAGGGAGCCACCGGAAATTATCACTACCTACGCTGGCACAAATCGTTTTCGTTTGTAATGTCTCAATCAATTCCATGGGTGCCCATCCCCTCCGGGCGTTTGTCGGGCATTTGTCATTTTGACGAAAAAATGTTGCAAATGCCCCACCATGGGGTCCAAATTATGCAACGAAATCCCCACCCTTGGGGACTTACATTGACGCAAATGCCCCCACCCTTGGAGACAAAACATAAGTTTTCTGAGGATATTTGAACCAAAAAATCGAACGCAGGCTCTATCTCGTATCAATATATCTGTATTTAAAATCGATTCTGTAGCCATTTCGTTTCGAAACGTTTTTAATTAAAATATTGAAGTCTCAAAACTTGATATAACAATATCAAACTGCGGAAGTAAGTCAATGTATCAACAGGATGGACAAGAAAAAAGTCTTTGTGTGTATGTCCGCCATGATTAATTTGCAATACGCACGCACGTGTAAACGTGCGTACTAAAATGCGGCTAAATGGCAAAACAAGCGACAAATATTCGAGCGAATAATACAAATATTTAGCGCTGAGGAAATTCCCCACCCCGGGGCTAACCTGGAGAAAGCAAATGCCCGACCCTGGGAACACGTACAGTTGAAAATGCCCGACAAACGCTCGGGGGGGGGGGGATGGTCACCCATGGAATTGATCGAGACATAAGCCCCAGTGATTTATTTCAATACATCGAAATCATCCCGTCTTCAACTCCGTCTCGGCACACTTTGCCGGGATCATGTAAATTTTAGGGTGGGATTCTTACATATTTTGTTCTATATATAATTAACATTTAGCTCTTTGTGTGTATACGCCCTTCGTGGAAACCAGTTGTAAATAATCGTCGAAGTTAGCGTATTGAAATAAAGTTTTACATTACATTACAAACAGCCTCGTACACAACAGGGATGTATAATTATATGTATACTATGAAATGAGTACCTGACTCACGAATACCATTAAAATACCATGCTTTTCCGGCAACACAGGAAACTGGTATCTCTATCTCGTGTAGCTATATGCGTGGATTGTAATGTGTGTGAGCCGATGAGGTATACAGCCTATACTTTAAACAAACCGTGAACTATATATACCGTATACTTAATATTACTGCAGCGCGCTTCCTAATATAAACAAAGTTGCGTGTCAAAACTGTTCATTGCACCGAGGGGTAAATTACTCGGAAAATCTTCGTACACTTCATCAAAAATCCCAAAAAATCTTTGGAAAAATCCCAAAATCTTAATAAATCCCAGAATCTCAAAATCCCAAGAAATCTCTAAAAATTGCATAAAATACTTGGAAAAAGCCCAATAAATTAAAATCCTCAAAATTATTGCAATATTGAGAAATCCCATCAAATGTAAACATTTAAATCATGAATTGGCGTGAAAATACCATAGAAATAATAAATATGTATTATTTCTATGGAAAATACCCTTAATTCGTTGATTTACTTCATTTTAAAAATAATTCGACGGATTATATGTCGCAAAAAATGTCGGAAAAAGTTCGGCGAAAAAAAATAAGGGAAAATATTTCGAAGAAATCAGCTGAAAAAAATCAAAAATCCTTTAAATTTGGGGGAAAAAATCCCAGAATCGCGAGAAAAATTGCCGGGATTTTCTAATCCCAAAAATCTTCGTACGCTTTTTTCAGAGTAATTTACCCCTCGCATTGCATGCATGTCATTGATATCAAAATGAGCTCAATCATTTTCATAACTATGCGCAGTACCGAAATGCTCAAAACACCGTGAGAATACGACGGTTGAATTTAATAATTATTATACTGGACTTGAGAACTCTAGTCTATACTAACATGGACACCATATAACATTGAGAGAGTATCCAATGAAAAATGTTATTTCATTGAGTAAAGAATTTTGAAGGCCGTTAATTTAAACGTATATACATGCCGATTGTAATGTTGGCCTTTAACACTACAACGTCAATGTTCCAACTGTTTATTTTTCATCTCTTTTGGATAAAATTATAAATTGAAAAAACCAATTGTTGGATGCCAAAATTGCTGGGTCCATTTCAACAAGCCTATAATTTACTTAAAATATAGTATAAAAATTAAAGAGAAAACGCGCGCTCATTCACTTTTTTCTATCTAGCTCTGCATGCGGGCATCTCGAGCCGAGAAAAACTATAGTAACCATATACACAATTTAATCTCTAGCATTCAGTATTTTAATGTTTTCTGAACCATATAGGCATATGGCTGTAATATTATTGAAAAATTGCTTGAGGCAAATTTTGTGGTGTTTTCATTTATATCATTATATTTCTATAATCTATATCCGTATTTCATCAAGTGCAAATGATTTTGGCTAGAAAATTAACAAACCACTGACAGCATTAGTGATATAATTATAAGTTCCTTTTCACCAGACAGCAATTTTTTAAAGCGGTCATTTCCATATACTAACTTTCTCTTTGGTAAGCTACATATTATGTAATTGTCCTCGATCCCTTAATTTATAGTTGCTTACTTAAAAAACTCATTAACAATTCATGAGGAAAGAGAAAGGAAATCACTACCTTGTCAGTTTTATATGTGATAAAATATCATGTTCATTTACATCAACTTTAGCTTTGCTTTTCTCGGCTTAGACGTTTATTTTTACGACTATTTCGCCAATATACTTAGCCTATAAACTCATCAGATGGGTCGTTTCTTAAACCATTTAAAACACTCGCAGTCCGTGCTTTATAATATCAGATATAAACACTCGAGCTACATGCGTCTCGTGTTTTATATCTGATAAAGCACTCCTGCTCGTGTTTTAAGTACTAGATAAAACATGAGCGGCCGATCTTTATCTGATAATATAAAAACTCGAGCCGAAGGCGAGAGTTTGTATATCAGATATAAAGATCGGATGGGAATGTTATATCGTGCTTATAAAACGACTCATCTTATGAGTTCATTAGCCAAGTAATTTTAAAAATAAACATTGTCTAAGCCAAGAAAATCAAAGCTGAAGTTTATGTAAATCAGGACAAATCTTTATGCGATTTACAAACATTGATTATAAAACATTCATTTCTTTTGAATTTTCTTCATGAATTATTGAGTTTTATAAATAGTACACGCACAGGCTGTATAGTTTTGTAATCTACTTGTGTTTGGCACCTACATAAGAGATACCGGCAGCGAAAGGTTTAATCGTGATAGTCTGATTAGTGAAATGGTTAAGCAAACATTATCAGAGATTTATGACTGAACAAACAAGACAACCGTTTTCCTAGACTATAAGCCTTAAATGGTCGACTAATATAATTATATAAGACTAATAGTCGAGTTTCAATTTCTCTTTGGAAAGGCAAATTAAGGAAAAGGTTTAATTTAGGAAACTCGGTAAATATAATGTACAGTACACATGACAAACGTGCAGGCACTGTGACTGTGTACATTCATTAAGTCTGATTTTCAAAACATAATTTAAAATTTTAGTTTAGGCAGAACTGCAAGAACCTTATACAGTATAACACATTTTGAAACCCATAAAATTTAATAGAAACTTGTAGTGACAGTAACGGCGCTCATGATCGTTCAAAACTGAAAACAAGAAAATCTATAGAAAGCAATGAACTTGATCTCCCAAAAAATTCTAGCAACAGTCACAACTGCTTAAAAAAATTAAATTCTGAATTTGCCCAGAGGCCAGAGCTTGACTTCAAATTAAACCCGGAATCCGCAATTTGAACACCGCATGTTTTTGTTCCGATAATTCTATCTAAAAAGTTTGTACTCCCAGCGGATATGATTTGTAGTAACATGCAGTATCTATACAATATCTTAGCATGAAAGACACGAAATGGCTTTGTTCCCCACAGCAAGATTTTGCCAATACATATAATGCATTTATGCAAACCGTTTCTATAATTCCCTTGAATGATCTCATTATAATACATTTTCGATATCAATGTATCTATATATATATAATCTATACATAAAATAATTAGTCAATATCTATAATCAAACCTGCCATATACATTTACCACATGCATTTGAACAGTGAACAACAGAAGTTGTCGTCCTCAGCTTGCGACCAGCAGGTGACAGCCACTATTGAGTGTACATGCTTAGCGTTCCTTCACTACCAGATTATTTCTACTAAGTTATATACCATAGTCTTCTGCAGTAAAAACACTAGAAGTTTCTTTAACAAATTGTTCCATTTTAAGATTCAAGGACCGTTATTGGATGCTTTCCCTTTGGTAAGCACTGTCCATGTTTGAGTGTTTACGCCAGATGTTGCTCTTCAAGCAAAACAATGTCAATGTATTCCACAACTCAGTGCAATCATGATCATCGCATGTTCTCTGCTAGAAGGAATTGTTGTTTTTAAATGGCGAAAACTTATACTGAAACTAATGTTTGTCTCTAAGTATCAACCGCTATATAGGTAGGTTTGTGTTCCGATATTCCAGGCGAAGGAATGAAGAAATATACTGCACACAATACCAATTTGTACAATAAGAGATTAAATCAGCTATATAGCCTATACAATTGATTTATTGTCCAAAAGTTAGTTTGTGGAAGCTTGACATTGAATCACGGCTCTTTCTCCTTTTAAAGGTTTACTGCTTAAAGCCCGGTTAAAAGAGAATGAGAGTAATTGATGAGAATTTGCAGTCACGAATTGTTACAGGGACATTTCAAGCTCCAGATAAACAAAATAAAGGTTTGATGAGTCAGGTTCCAATACAATATAGCAATAATGCTAGAATATATAATCAATAAATTATAGTGTTGGGAAAGCAGCTAGCCAAGATCGCGCGCGACCACTAACTCTCATGTATACTCTCATCATCATTTGATGCGGGCTTAAGTTTTCATACCAAACGATCTAAGGCCTTTGATTGCATGTATATGTCACCGTTTACAATATTGTGCTGAAAATATTGTGCCATGTACTGTTGTCTAGTAGGAGTAGCTCCTTTCAAAGCCGTAGAAAATAGCTTAACGTTTTGTAGTCTCTTTTACTTGCGGGATAAGCAAAGTTAGTCGTGGTTTAGTGTTCAATATGCCAGATGAGGTTGTTCAATACGCGAATATCACCGTTCAAAATATTATATATAGAAGAATCAGTTATACCATTGTTCTCTGGTAGGAGTAGCCGCTTTCAAAACTGTGGCAGCTTGAGACACAAGTGTAGTTGTTCCTTTTTCCTGTCCAGTAAGTAAACTCCGAGGTTTAGTGTTAGATGATGTTTGTTCCAAGCTGTCATGTAGTTTCATGTGTTTCCTCAGTGAACTCGGATGAGTATAACTCTTATTACAACCGTCAACTTTACAGATATAAGGTTTATCTGACGTGTGAACATGAGAATGTTTCTTTCGGTCGCTGGAGTTAGCAAAACGTCTTCCACATCCGAGATATTCGCACATGAAAGGTTTCTCGCCAGTATGGGTTCGTTTATGAATCTTTAGATTCTCAGATCTTGCGAAAAGTTTACCACAGCCGGGCACCATGCATGGAAATGGACGTTCGCCAGTATGAACACGAATATGATTAACAAGTTTATACTTTGCTTTGAAAGGCAGGCCATTCCTTTGACAATCTTGCCAATAACATGTATGTACATTACTATCACATGCACTAACGTGTTCATCAGAAAGGTGGGTTACAAGATCTTGAAGCATCCTAAATTGTTTCCCACAAGGTTTTCTCTTCCCATCTTCTGTAGTATTATTATTGTTCTGGTCAATCCAGAGGCAAGTCATAATCTCATTGGTTTGTTGCTGAGGTATCATAGGAAAGTAGCCAGATGGTTGTAAATTAGTAGGATCGAATATAGGATATCCTTGAGAATGAATACCGCTACCAGGGTAATACTGTTGTTGGAATACTTGAGGAGATAACCCATGCATTGTAGAAGGATCACAGTTAGCTGCTCCTGGGGGTATAGTATTAGGATTATAGCCGTCTACGTAAGGTTTAGTGTGATTCTGATAGCCCAATGCGTTAGGACTACGTATGGCTCCGTTTGAGTAATAATTATGAGGCGATGCTAGGTTAGTAGCAGGTTCTGGCATAGGCATAAGATGGGTTGTTGTGGTATGAAGATCTGTAGTATGCCGTTCTCTAAGATGGGTAGTTGATCCATGAAGTTCTCTAGGCGGTGTATAGGGTATGGTATGATAAGGTTGGAAAGACGGATAATATCCTCCAGGTCTTACTGCAGTCTTGGTTTCTATTGGCGAAGTACGGTGACCGTGTGGTGGTAATGTTGACATTCTGTGAGGTCTCACGGTGTTTCGAACTCTGTTGTTACCAAGAAAACCACTGAGGTTGATCTCTTAAACCACTTAACACTTGCACTTGCCAGTTGATTAGTAATCTAACAGATCACAGTGCTATATATAACACTGTAATTAAAATTCTATATTTATGCTTCTGAAAAAATCGCACTTACTGTATACCCAATGAAAGAGCTCTGTACACTGCAGCTGTTGAAGTAAAGAACGAAGTCTTATTTTAAAGACATTTCAGTGTTCCAAGCTTGTTAATATAGCATCTGTATTCAGTTTCTCGCCACAGCAGGGTTTTACATTTCTATTGCACTGCGCATGCGTGTTTGGTTCCATTCAATACGACATTACAATAATCTTACCCCCTCAGCGCTTTGCGCTTCATTCGCAATTGTTACTCTTGTGTTCCCCGGCTATTTTCGGCGCTACAATGTTGACATTGTACACAATAATCCTTTCTGAAATTAACTCATGATTTCTACCGAACTACAATGCGTTTCACATAAAGTATGTAATCGTGAAATTTCAACCTTTAAATAAATAGAAAACTAATTTTACTTTAGAGCATATAATCTGTCTATTAAATGAACTAAATTGAAACTTCAAAGTCGTTTTGGGACATATAAAAGCCACAGGGGCTTTAAGAAAGCTCCACGAGCTTCCTCTTGAAATATACAAACATAATAAACTCCAAATGTGTAATTTCGGCTGAGATATGTCGAAATTGAGAACACAAGGTGGTCACTTAGAAAAAAATAGGCGGAGTGTAAATAGCTTAATTTTAAGATCTATTAGCAGTACAGCGTAGAAACATCTTCTAAGGTTATTTGAAGTATTAATTTGGCAAGTGCGGTGATCATACTCTGTTAATTATAGACAGAGTAATAAGCTTTCATATGTCATCTCAACCGGAAGTCGAGTAATGTCCATTGAAATGATTAAAAGATCATCCATCCTACTGAGTCATGAGTCACGAATGTCTGCTTGTTATGCCGCCTGTAAGCGGGTTAGGGCTGTACGCGGGATGGACATTAATAACAACTTAGATCCGATCAAGTAAACAGTTTGCTTATTTAAGTAGAAGATCGTTATCTACCATAGGAATGAACAGATTAATTAGACAATATAAGGTAATAAGTAGGAGAAAATCGATCCAAAAACTTTACAAAGAAAAGAATTTCATTCTTAATCCCACAACTGAAACTTTTAGCGGCCTTAAGGATTTTCATAGAAGTTCATATTTTATCATTTAGTAAACTATAAAGCTTTCCTCGGTCGAAGTGTAGGTATCACCGGTAAAAATATCCTGCAGTTTGATGACAGTAGCGCCACGCCTACTTAAGAAATCTATTCATATTTCAAGACACAGTATGCTAGTTTATTAAACACTATACTTGAAATTTTTATCTCAGTGGAAATGATTATAAAAAGTACGATATGAATGATGTATCACTGAGAAAAATCGACTCCAATGTTTGTTCAGGAGGCAGATCTACGTGGAGATATCTATCACAAGGGGTTGAAACTAGGAGGGACTATAGCTAATTTGTTTTGAATTAATTATGACACTTCCCGTGAGTTCACTTTGCTGTCACGAGAAACTGCGGGAGCTCTCCACATGAAATCAAAATAAAAATATTTTCTCCTCTCAGAGACACCATTTGCTTGTTGCATGCAACAAGAAATATACATTTTTACGTTTCATGAGATATTCTGCGATAACGTTTTCTAAAACACAAAAACTGGGGACAACCGTTTTACACATTTTGTGTTGATTTATTTGCTGTCAATACAATTTGTGAGGCCTGTTAACACGTCTCGTTATTAATTACGAAACTCACGGCAAAATATGTCAGTCTGTTTTTAAGTTATAGGCATTTTTATGCTGATCAGAACAACAAAACCAGGCATGCGAGTTAGCCAAAAATACGCATGCGTTGAATATAGATTGTTTATAAAAACTTTTGGCACAGTGCTCAATGGATATCCAGAGCATAATTAAATAAATTCAAGTACGACTCAATAAATTCTACTAGGCATCTTTATTACTATTTAGCCTCGTACCACAAGTAAAAAAATTCCGCTCCCGATTATTGAAAGGGTATTCAAGTTCGGCACCTCGATCGACTTACATTGAATTTTGTTACTTTAATTATTCTTATGATAACTTTGAAAGTAAACCTACTTTTTGTGCCGACACACATTAACTACAATCATAGACAAATTTACTCGGACAAACATGGCAAATAAATTATTTTTTGAAACATTTTCATATATACTTCGTAAAGTCGGTCCCCCTCCAGAAACAATGTTGATGAACACTTCAGTCATTATGGCAACTATTGCGCTATCGGTAGCAACAACATTGTAACGGGGGAGCGGGGAATACGGCTGAATATGCGTATAATTATTTGTGACGGGGAGCGGGGAATACGGCTGAATATGCGTATAATTATTTGATTGCTTTAAATTTCAGCCATTTTTAATCAGCGTCCGCATGTTATTTGTCTAGGATTGTAGCTACGTCTAAGAGCGATTATTCAGGAAACATGGCGTGGTTTCAGGGCTTGTTCGTATGATTCTACTTACTGAGACGACTCGTCTAGCGGGAATACAATGGAGTTGTCATCTCGCTAGCGATTTTTTTCTCGCGCGAATTGACGTTTTACCATTGCGGTATCGATTTTGCCACGTTTTGCTTCGCGCAAAAAATTCGCTAGTGGAAAACTGGCTTAAGGGATCTACGATCGTGTTGTGGGGAAACTCCAAGAGTCGTGGGCTGAAAAATACATGTAAAACTTTGTATTTTTTTGAAAGATTGTACTTGTATTTTTCAGGTAATTGAATCCTTATCAATTTCAATTTTCTGGCACAGATCGTTCGAGTTGATATTATGGCAACATGACTGCTATCAAGGAGTTGCATACGAAGCGGTTTGAATGCGAGTTTTTGTACGAAAATGCTTTGAAAACATTAAATAGAACATTCTGTATTCGGGCTCCCTGTGATAGAGGTACAATTGGGTAGGTCAACTGGAGTACGTATAAGGTGTGAGGAAACGCTAAGGAGCTAATATGGACTTCGTGCAATATTATTTATAGTATGTTGGGGGCACAATCGACTTTATAGCATTTTGAAGATCATATATAAAAGTCATACTGTACATCAAAGACATATGTATTCAGGACTACACGTGTACGGAAATATATAATTAATTTAATATTGAAAGGTTATTGTAGTTGGAAATTTCGAGTGCAAATTTATACATTAACCATAGCAGAGTTTCAAAAAATGCAACTATAGGCCCTCTGCCAGGAATCGACCCTGGGATTCCAGTGTAGCGCTCTAACCAGCCAGCTAAGCTAACAGAGTTCAGTTACTGAGCTTAAACCGCAGCTCATGCACAGTATATTATACAAAGGTTATGCCAGTGCAAGGTGGGTCCACTGGGTAAATATCAGGATTTTTCGCAGATGCTCCTGTAGGTCTAAAATCTATAACATTTATACTCGAAATTACCATCTACAAAACTTTTCATCATTTAGTTTATTTCTCTATATACCTTACACAGCTATCACCTTAGTACATCATTAACAAATAGATTACATTATCCCGTTGTCTGTTCAGTTATAGATACACAGTATGACGTCATACGTGGTAAGAACAAAAAAGTGTCCACCAGCCGCCTAGGCGAGTGGTCACCTTTTGTGCTTACCACATATGACGTCATACTGTGTATCTATACTGAACAGACAACGAGAAAATGTAATGTATTTGTTTTTTATAATTGATTGAAAAGCACTTAAACATTGCCTATGTTGCACGAAGTGAAGAAACCAGCTGGAAAAAATGACTCAAATAATATTTGTTTTCGAAGACCGGATTGAAGTCACATCAGAATGCACATTTATCGAAGGTATTTATTGATGTTGATAGATTTAATTCCATGAATTCATTCAATTTGTATAAATTCAGTCATTTCAGTAGAATTTTCAAATATTTTCCACATTTTAAAAACTAATGACGTATTCCGTGCGTCTGTCCTCTAATAGATCATGGCTCTCGACCAATGAAATCGCATGAATTCTTAAGGCTATTATATAATAATTTGTAGATACATGACCTTGTGGTTAAAGAACCATGCGCACATGACACGATTGACAAGTGGACGTTCTGTAGCTCTATTTGCTAGAGAGCTCCATCAGGGTCACAGCGCCTAAGGTTCGATTCCTGCCACCGGGCTTATAGTTGTACTTTTCACAGCTGCTCCTGGTTCCAAAGATCTAAAATGTATAAATTAAATTAATAGACTTGAGACTTCCATCTACAACCAGTGTTCTCCCCCTGACTATAGTAACGTCATCTGGCGTGAGAGAAAGTAAACAGTAAAATGAGATCCCAAAATCCTAAATTAAATATTTACCATTAGTATAATTACATAGGTGATTATTGAAAATTCTCAACGCTGATTGGTTGCCGTTGAGGTGATTATAACGCGATAATCACCTAAGCGATTTTCAAAATGGCGGCCGAAGCCGTTTTGTCAATTAAATGACGAAAAAAATGTGTATTTTTTATTTTTTTCCAAATAATCACCTATGAAATTATACTAAAACAATTATTCACCTCAGGCACGGTGATTATCGTGAATGACAACCTCGACTTCGTCTCGGTTTTTATTCACCGATTATTGGCGATAATCACCTCATCTTCGGCAAATAATTGATCTAATAAATCTCCCCTTGAGTCTGACAAGTAAAATCGTCTGGCATTAGACAGTGTAAAATGACAAAGTAGGGCGCATTGAGTTAATGGTAACTACAGATGATTTTACTTATCACGGCAAGTCTTGTGCTCTAATGGGTTAAGTTCTGCTAATTTAGCGAGTTCTATATTATGGGCAAATGGGTTTCATTGCTAGTCTGATGTTTACTTTAATGACTTGACTAGTTGATTTATACTACAAATCCATCCCCACTCCACGCAGGGTTCGTAGTCTCCAAGACCAAAACAATTCAAAGACTTTCAAACATTTTTTCTGCCTATTTTCAAAGACTTTTCAAAGACCTTTGAGAGCAATCAGCTGTCGAAAAATTGCGAGTGTAAGCACCATTTTTACCCAGTAATTAGTCCCGAAAAATCACATCCTAAAATGCGCATTTTCGTCGATATTTGCGAAAATCTTGCTTCAATCAATCTATTTAATTAGCTAGGAAATCGTATAATCAATTCCTCACTAAAGAATTTAAAGACTTTCTTCGCTTTTTCACACAATTTAAAGACTTTTCAAAGACCTCAAAGAACTGCATTCTAATTTAAGGACTTTCAAGGATTTCAAAGACCGCTACGAACCCTGCCACGCCCCCCCCCCC